ATGTGTAGAATAACTAATACCGTTCTCTTTATCTCTTTATCTGTACCTTTATACAACATTATTCCTGAGATTATTTGAAATCTCCTTGGTCTTCACAGCAAATTATTGTTTGAAATTCACTACCTGACTCTGTGTCCATACAACAGACAGGTGTATTTTTCTAAAGTCATATCAACCACTATTATTTAAGTTATAGAGAGCTTGGTTCAACCCCCCCTAATTGTGTGGCTCAGTAAGGTAATAGCCATAGCAAAAGGTTTAAATACTTAGGCAATTGTTATTTTTCTAATTCTCTTTCATATGAATTATTTACTTCTGTTTTTTTGTCATGAGTCATGCCTGCAGGTTTTAAAGCAGTGTAAAAATGGTACAATGTGACAAATACTTTTGCAAGGCATTGTATTGCTCTACTAAATGTGTCATCTACAGTATACACTGTATATTCATATACAAAATATTGAGTCAATTCCAAAAAAATGTTCATATCTCCTCAAAACTGTGACATATGGGGAAAAAAGAATAAACATAAACACAAAGGAAAACATAAATATCTTCTACATCAAAGCTTTTTTTTACCATAAAAATACAAAATCAGCAGCCCATCATGAAACAGTCACAAAAGATAGTGCTCACTCACAAAAGGATCATGCTAACAGAACACAAATATAACTGTAGCTCACATAGCACAGTACTTACAAACTCTCTGTCTCTTAAATGTGTTGACACTGTGCTTTTCAATACAGGTACAAAATAGCCTATATACTCAATCATAGAAATGGCATCCAATTTACTTACCATTTCTTCTGAAGTGGAAACTAGAACTACTGGCATTTTCACTTGGCCATCTGTTACACTTTTTGGTTTAGTTTACATCAGAAAGTAATTTCTAGATTAATAAATACGAAAAAAGAAAATGCATTTTGAGAAATGTGGTGATTTGCTCAGATTGCTTATCATATAAGTTGAATGAAAACAATAACTGTTGTGACTCAAAAACCATGGGTACTATTTTCAAAATACAGATAGAGCAACGGGGATTTGAGCACCTAAGTGTTCTGAATATACTGCGCATAAATCTGTGAAAAATAAATAGGTGGTGTGGCAGCTCCCTCTGCTGTTAAGTAATGGATAAAAGCCATCGGTTTTACTATTGAAAACTAATGGTATATAATCTTAGGAAGGCATAAATACTGTATCACAATATCACCCTTAATATCATATTGTTTATCTCCCCACGAAAAATGACATTTGCATTTAAAATCTACTTCAATAACAATTTTTGTTCATTTTTACCCTAGTGATTGAATGAGATTAATTTGCAGAGGACACATAGATCAGTTAGTTTAGTCACCAAACCATAATTATAAACAATATTTAAGTGAAAAGAATTGAACAGATGTAGCGGTTTATTACCCTAACTAAATCAACACAAAAGACATTAATAGCACATTAATTTTAATCTGTAATAGTGTAAATTACATTATTTCCCCTCCTTTTATTTTTTGGTTTATTTTACATCTTTTGTACATTGAGAATATCAAATTACACGTGAAAAGTCAATTCCAGCACTGAGAATGCTATGATCAATCATAATCTGTTATCCAATCATAATCCAAAAATAACAAATGGCAGATTACACAGATTACAGTAACAGATTACAAATAATCCCTAAAATGTATAACATGGAAGCAACACAATGGGGAAGCACAGTATATCAGTAATATAGGAACAACTAATAGGTTTATCCCACGCTGAAAATAAAGAAAACAACTTTTCGGCTGTGGAGCCTTCTTCAGGTGTAAGAAAGACAGGGCAGTAAGCAAAGGTAATGTAGTATATGAGAAGAAAAACTGGGAGAGAGGAGGAGCAGGAGGTGGGAGCAGGGGACAGACATAGTGGCCAATCAGGTAGTGTGAAGTCAGAATAGATGAAGAGAGGTGTGAAATGAAACCTACAATGAATAGAGAGAATTTAGAAGAAAATTAGTCTGTTGTTGAGAGAAGGGGAAAGGTGTGATCGTAGCTGCAGGATAATTCTTGTGCAACAAATACCTGCAACAAATTTACAAATGTATAACCAGGAAAAAGATAAAGAATTGAAGAACTGGAGAACTGGAATTTAATTGAAAAGACGTAGTAAATTCGATATTCTTTTTAGCATTTTTCATCAATAGTACTTTCCTGTGAAAGGCACAGCCTAACAGTCTGATACAAACTGTATCTGTGACACATGGTTTGCATAATGATGCAAATCATGTCTTGTGAGATTCTATGTCATTCCTTTCATAAAGCAATTTCTCTTTCGTCTGATTTCTGAAACCCAGTTATCAGAATTCATCCCAGATCATCCTACAAATGTACATTGGGACTCAAGTCTAGTGAACAGGGCATCTCCACCATAGCTGCCACATTCTTGCAACATCTTGCAAGAAAAACATTGAACATGAGCAGCAGAAGGGAATGCTGCTCAGAATCAGCCCTCAGAAAGTGAGGTCCTCAGACTTGAGCAATGTAGTGCAGTGCAGTCAGGTTGCCATCGTTCACTACAAGTGGAGTTCTGAAGTGACTAGACACTCCTGCCAACAACATCACACATAATCCTTGCTCCATTGTACACAAAAATTATTGCATTGCACATCTGTGCCACACTCCCAGATGTCCATCTGGGTGAAATCTTACAGTAACTCACTGGTAAAGAGGGCTTGGTTCCACTGTTCACTCTAGCTGAGAAAAATTAGACTGGCTTCTAACATACGGTAAACGGATGCCATAAAGTCAATGCTATCATGAACAAGCAAGGCATATAGGTTCCTTTGTGATTTCCTGTTTTGATTTTCACCAGTGTTGACATTCATCAGGCTATGTCACCTGCAGTTTCTACAGTATGTCAGCACATAATATTTAATTCACATTCTCATCTCCAAACTCTTAAAAGCAAGCATTTTGAAAAAGATCACAGAACAGTCATAATTTTCCAGAATCAACGGAATTAAACACAATAGCCCAAATATAAAAGTGGAATTATTTTGATTATTATGAAATCTTATCCTCATTGAACAGAAAAAAATAATAAACCATATTTTCTAACATTTAGGTGCCTAAATCACCACCGCTTCCTTTGGTAATGTATCAGCTGTATTGGTTAAGGAATGCCAAAACTTTTTTATTTTAAGATTTTTACTGTAAGACAATCTAAGATGTGGTTGCTAAACTTGGACTCCTGCATTGTGTTTTGGTGTGATGTGCCATGGAACACAGCAGCTAAAAATTATTCACAATACTACTGAAATTTAATTTTGTGAATCATGACCATTTCCATTTCGGGATTAAAACAGGGTTTTTCTTTAAAGTCATTAATAGACCGTTTATATACAGTACCCATTGCAAATAAAATGCACTGATAAATGGAAAGAAATGTGAGGTACTATGGCTATTTTAAATTAACATAAAAAACAGACCATATTCATTAATTCCGAATGTGATGTCTCCTTCGCTGCATTCTGATAAGCACTGCAACAATCTGAATGTGTTTTCAGCATGCATCCTAATAATACATACTGTAAAATAATCCTGACAACTCTTGTTCTTAATTCAGGTTAAATTTCAAATAGTGTAATAAGATACTTAAAAGAAAATCAGGCCTCTAATTTCAGAGTTTACAATGTGTCCATTGTAATTGAAAAATACAATTAACACCCTCAGTTGTAGTGACGGAGCATTTCAAAATATAGCTCAAGAAAACATTATAAAGAAAAGTTAAGATGAAGCCAAATATTATTAGTAAATTATTATAGTATAAAGAGTTTCATATCAGGAACAACCCATTTGACATATACGAAGACTCAATACACTGTTTCCCAACATATTGTTTTACACTATGTATCCATTGTTCTAGTATTTATTTCGGAAGTTCATCCAAATAATGATTAATGCAACATAAGGCTGAAACGTTTTAGGCAGTTATTTGGTGAACTTGCCTGACTTGAGGGGATGGCAGCCAGCCAGTGAAGACGAGGCTGACACGACCTTCCTCTGTTCACAACGAATGAGCCAGAGAGCTGCTGCAAGGGTGATGACGCGGTGAAATGGGGAGGGGTACAAGAAGGAAGAGCAAAGGGGTGCTCATGAGGTGAGATTTTTTTGCGTAGGAGAGCGAAAGTTTGCAAGATTCGAACCTCTTCCCAAATGTCTGTTAAAAACATGTCACTTGGTGTCTATATTTAGCAGAAAGTGTTACTCATCTTCTTGATAACCTTGAAGGAAATGCTTTAAAATAATTCATTTCATACAGTACATTCTTGAGTTCAATTAAGAACAACAAGTTTTTGGGCTCATTGTAAGACAGGCACCAGTGATATAACATCCTACACAGACTATTGGAACCAGAATCACAACAGTTTGTAAATATTAGTTGTTGTAGTACTTTGTATAGAAACATAAGAGATATGTAGTTGAATTTTGATATAAATGTGATTTTAATTATCAGGCAGCATGTTGGTTAGCATCAGCCTCATGGCTCCAAGATCCTGCATTCCATTCTGGAGCACCCGTTTGCTTCTATGGTCTCCATGTATTCACATCTATTTTTGACAGACACTCCAGTATCCAGCCATGTTCCAGAGACATGTGGTTTAGGGATGATTAGCTATTCTAAATGGTATCTTTAAAGGGGGATGAAAGGAATTCATTGTGGAGGGTCTGGTCCCAGTACAACCAGAACTGACTCTGGGGCTGTAAATAGAACCTGATCAAGCTCAAGTTGCCTCCTCTCCTCTCATGTGTGTACAGTATGTTATAGATCTATCAACATATCCATCACCAAGTTACACAGAAACTAAAGGAAACCACGTGACTTTGCTCAATATTTCCTGATACGTGGGGGGTGTTTTGGTGGTTTAGGTTTATGATCAGCTATTAGAATCTGGTATATGAACCTTAACCAACTCCCTCTTCTACAACAACATCTGACCTGATTTATAAAAATCAGAATTGAAGAGCAAATTATTAAAACCTTTTTTATTAATGTCATTTCCAATAAATGTACAGATCTGATTAAATTCTCCAAAATAACAAATTCCAGGAAACAAATCTTACTATAAATTACCAAATGACATGTACAGAGACAGGTGTAATTTGTTATATTAAACAAACCACTATTATTGAACCCAGACAGACTTCGGGTGCAACTCTCAACTAATTGTGTGGCTCGGTATGAATTACCAAGTACATTTTATACATTTTAAACATATATGTATGCCCATACTTATAAGTACAAAAGCATGGATACAAAGACTGTCGAGGCCTGCTTGAATCACAACCCAGGTCTTAGACACAGCACCACTTGCAATAAAGTTTTGTATCTGTAATACAACAAATAAAGTGAAATAAAGATTTTATTTTAATTTTTAAAGATTAGCATAATAGCGATCTCGGTTTTGAAAATCCCTGTAGGCATGTTCTGCATCTCTTCGGCTGTGTGGGATTCTTCCAAAGGGCGCATGGTCATTAAAACAGCTATCAAACACTTCATCCACGGTTTTCTCTGCATCTTCACGGCTCACTTTCCGGACAGCTAAGATAGAGCGAAGAGCTCGATCTCGAACACATTTCTGAGGGTCAGAAATAGTTCATTACATTCTTTACAAAATCTCCTCTTCATTGACAAGTTCTTCTTTGAATGCAAACCTGTAATTTTATGCATTTAACTGCAAAAATCCTCTTCCGTTCATTAAAAAAAATAATAAAACATACAAATACATATGAAGAAGTATGTTTGGATTTAACCACAAAGTTAGCAACCAAAAGACAAAGTATGGACCAGGTTCTCAAGGAGGTTTAGGTGTTTTTTTTTATTCCAGCACTCCGATTACAGAAATATAACTAAATGCTTGTAAGTGGAGTGAGATATCATCACTGCTGGGATCGGTCTTATACAAGTACTATCTTAAGTAAAGAATATTTTTTTAAAGATAAAAAAATAAAAGGTGCAATTGGTAAGAATCGGTTAAAAGCATTCTTTTAAGATTCTCAGTACGGAAGGTGTTTAAATTTCCTAAAACCACAGGGGAAATGTTTTATTCGGCTCCAAATACTGAAATTACGTAAGAGAAAGTGCGATTTAATGTTAGACTGCATAAACTAAAAAAGCACTAAAACGCAGCAGGTTAATGAACGCTAACAGTCTCCTGCATTTTTCAGTTTAAACATTCACTCCCATTTACTCCTTTTCTCAAAAAACTAAACATGTTTCTCCAGTAGAAATAAAACAGACAATGTTAATTCGGTAAGTTACCTGATGATGTTGTTTAATGCCCAAGTTGAGTCTAACAATTTCGTTACTAAAAGAACAGTCGCCACTAAGGTTAGCTGCCCGAATCTATAAAAAACAAAATATTTAAGTGGTTAGACTACATTTGTAAGTCATACAGAAAATTTTAAAAAAAGGATCTTTATAACCACAGGGGAAATCCACATGCTCAACTGCCGAAGTGTGCAACATTTATAGCATAATCCTTTGCATTTCTATATATTCAGAATTGTACTTGAGATTTCCATAAAATCTGCTATTAGATATTCATCTATTAAGGTTTGAATAAAGGTTTCACAATAAAATCAGAACAAATTCACATAATTTCACAACTTTAAAAGAAGCAACAGACATCTTTATACAACTTGTTCAGAGTTAACGCAACAATAATAGATCTAGTCTTACCTCTGAACAAGCCAGATGCTTGAAATTATTAAACCAATCAACGTGAGCTCTGCAATGATCAAACGCATGAATGAGTTCGTGGGTGACAACCCTGTTCATGTGGGATTGTTGATGAATGTTATTCTGACATAAAACAATCTGAAACAAGAAAAAAGGGTCAGTGACTTGCTGAAAGTGTGGCATTATTTTTAATAATAATAACAACAACAACAACCATCTTCATCTTACTTGTGAAGTTGTAGCATCAAAACCACCGCTAACAGTTCCGTCACAGTCCTCGCAGGAGAAATGCCTATCTTTGTTAACAGTGCTGAAATAATGCATTAAAACACGATGTCATCATTATCATCATAATAATTAAAGCGACTTCCTAGAATATCAACAAAAAAGCAACCTTTTCTACTAATTATGTGTAAATTATCTGCAAAAAATGTATATTACATTTTGTATAAAATAGCTGTTTGTTCATAAAAAAATACATACCATCCCGAACGTTTCATTGCACTAAGAAGCAGTTTTGCATATGGACCTGGGGGAAACAAACGTTTAGTTTACACACAAAATTAACAAAGCGAAAAGGCAACAAAAATATTATTTATTAACAACTATACTCCTTTTCGTTTTTTAATGCTTTAACAATTACCGGTGTCACTTAGATTTATACATTTAAATTAATGTAATTATTGTTTATTAGACATGAAAAATATAAAAAATAACTAAGAGTATAACCAAACATACTTGTGTCCAATGTGAATTTCAGCATGACCTGACACTTGTGATTGTAAGTAAAGAGGTTTTTCGCGAATGATCCTTTTTTAAATGTCTGAGTATTTCTTTCCGGAAACAGCTGATAACCATAATCTTCTTCATTCTTATTGTTTTGGTCCATGTCACAAAAAATTAGGCGTTCACTTCGAAATTATTTCAATAACACTTTATCCAACCTTTTCTTAACGTTTCACCAGCAGTAGGTCATTCTGTGTTTTACATATGGCGTGTAATGTCAAAGGTAAAAGGTAAAGGGTCACTCTAAATTTGACTAATGGCGATACAGTATGTTATTGAACGGCTACCAAACATTGTTTTAAATTCAAATTGTGTTAAGGTATTTTGCTAGGCGCCATTTTGCTCTGGAACTAAGTTACAGTGGAAGAAAGCAGAAAATTACGCTGTCATTCTACGCCTCAGGCGTGTTTGATTTTCTGTAATTTCTTCTTCTCTTCACTGCCACTAGACGTGGTGTATAGCGAACGGCCAATACTTTTTATTGTATACCAACTACAAAGACAGAAATATGTACAATGTATTTAATAATACATTGAAGAAATATTTTGTACTTTTATTTATTTAAAATCTTTTAAGTATAAAGCCAAGACAATGTTTTGCCTAGACACAACATTTCATTATTTAAGCACAGATCGCATTCCAAGAAGCAAAGATCCATGTAGATTGCTACTGTATAACACGTTGTACAAATCAAAGTGAGTTTGTGGCAGCAGTGCTCATGCTTTGACTAGTAAACTTAATTGTGTCCGACATTTATTTAATTGTATTTCAGACGGCTAACAAGATCTGCAGTACCGCCACCGCCAGGTATGAACGAGTCGTGTGAGGATCACTACATTTTTAACTTTTTAAAAAACTTTGTTTTTGCTTTTTTTTGCTTTTCTCCCCGTTTCATTCACTTCCTACGTTGATGTGTCATGTTGAGACATCTGTATATTTGTATGTATATACCCCTGTTTGTTGTATTTCCCTTTTTGTATTTAAATATTTTTTTTAAATAAAAATATCACAAACTGGTTACTTCCGTGGCACATTGTGCTGTATCTTTAATTTCTATCTGGTAGACAGGCTATGGTTTCCAAGCCAACTAAGCTTTTTTTTCCTGTTTCCGAAGAAGCGCAGAGGTTGCTGGGATTTGCTGTTATGGCGCCGCACGCGATCGTTAACCAGGTGCTGTAAAAATAACCGAGGAACTTAACGATTTGCTTATTCGTCTGCGGCCGATTGTTCTCCTACGCTATATAGACATATACGGATAATACCCGCTACAGGTACGATATTTATTTGAATTAATCGTCGATTGTAGAGGCAATTTATTAGCTATGCTATCTAGTGAACTAAAATGCATTTCTCATCCACATATCCACAAACAGACCAACTGATTTATGATGTATAAAGTTTTCATTAGAGCTGTTGCTGATATAATATGACACGGTCATATTATGACATTTGTATATAACCACAGAGCCTAACCAGATTGACTTTTAAGCTCTTTTAAAAGCTAAGGCATGTTTTTTTACAACCTTTTGTGCAGTGAATATTTTTGTTTTGTGCAAACAAGTAGGATACATTTATAAGTTATCATACACATTTTAGGTCGATTTAAATTACTGTATTGTTGTAATTAAGAAAGTCTGCATGTTAGGGCAGGTGTTACTTCTCTTGGTTTTCAGTTCTCGTGTTTTACATGAGAGTCTGATTGACCCTAAATAATCTCAAGCAGAAAAGGGTAAAATAGGTTGAAATGAATGTGCTGAGTGTCCTAGTTGCCCGATCTTTAACCTAATGTGCAGTGTTCTGGGCTGAGTTTGACAGGAGGGAAGACAAGGTGGTTGTGATTCCTAATAAGATGAACTTATGAATTCTGAATAGAATAGTTTGTGCTATAAACACAAGACAACATGCTAGAACATGCTTCTTTTTCATTTTCAAGAGACATTTTTTAAAATACAGGAAAGGCTTCAATTGTGTTTGCGACATATTCCTTAAATTTATTTTAGAAGAAAATGTTTTGGTGCCTCCTTAATTTTGTGTTTTGTAATTTTACAGTGTTTTAATCTTGCATCAAATCAGTTGGACTAGCATGTCTGCACAAAATAAAGCCATAGAACTGCAGCTTCAAATGCGACAAAATGCAGAGGATCTGCAGGATTTCATGAAAGAGCTGGAGAGCTGGGAAATGGACATAAAGAAGAAAGATGAGGAACTGAGGAGAGAGAGCGGTGTTGAAATTACACAAGTAAGTTTGTCATATGAGAATGAAGAAAATGCAGATAAAAGGCAGCCATCCAGACATACTTGTTTGGTGACTTTAATCCCTCAGGAACACATTTCTTTATAATGTGAGCATTTATCAGGTTTCATATTAATTTTTCATCCAATCATTTTAAATTATTTTTCACTTGCAAAATAAAATTTTAAAGCTTATGAGACATTGTGATGTTTAGAGTTGAAATATAAAGTATTGTATACATTCACAAATAGTGTACAGTGTATGTGCTATATTTAGCCATCCCCTTTATCCAGGAATGTTATGTATTCCATTTAAATAATATGTTCTAAAATATTAACAGTAGAAACATAGCTTATATAATGTAGAATTAAACCAGTCAGTTAATACACCAGTGTCTCACAGAATAATTATCAAGCAAGGTACAGAATACATCAAAAGAACCATAAACATTAGAAATGCCAGTAAAATACTGTGCCCAAACTTATGAGAATAAGGTCCCAGAAGTTGGTTGGAGATGATGCAGTCCTCATGTTTCCACAATGAGAGTACAAGCAGAAAGAAACAGTAGAAACAAGAACCTGCTGATTGTGCTGTTTTTGAGATGTTGAGTTATATTAGAAAATCTAAACTCTTACATCTGATTCAGGAAAATTTGCCACCCATTAGAAATACTGAATATAGAAAGAAGAAAAGAGAAAATAGCAAAGTGGCTGCCAAGAATGCAAAGAATGAAAAGAAGAAAGCATCCAGAATAAAATCCTGCGATTATGTGGCATGGGAAAAATTGGATGTGGTAAGTTCATCTCATTCTAACATTGTTTTCTCAGCGTGTGTCATCTATTTTTTTATATTTTTATATGATTTTCTGAATATCAAAACATGCTGTTTTACTCAAAGATCAATTTGATTGATGTTCTTATTGAACAAGATGTGCTTGAGAAAACTGAAGAAATCTGTAAAAAAAATCTAAGTTTTTGATTCACGGCATTCACATTTGACTGTGAACACCTGTATATCTTTTTCTCTCCTTGGCACTGAAAAATACAGTAGTGAACTCCATACTTTCCTTTATTTGTATTAGGTGATATAAAAACTATAACATGTTTATTTACCTGTTGTGGTGAAGTTGCTGAGTTAGATTAATCTTTGTTCCATCTAGTAGTAGTTTTGATAAATTAAAAAATTATTCAGCATTTGTTGAACAAACATAAAATATCATTAATTGTCTTGTATTTCTTAAAAATACATTCATAAAATTAGAAATGTCATAAATGGCTTTTATTGACATTACTTATTTCTGAATTAATCTTGCATAAAACCTTAAGAAAAACATTTTCCAGCAATGGAGCTAATTCACAGTGATTTAGTTTTAAATGTTTGTAGCATTAAAAAATGTATATATTTTTTTAATATGTGGTAATATAATGAACCATGACAATATGCAGCATTATTTTCCCGTCAATCGTTTGTCGTTAGTTTCTGATTTTAACTTCCTAAAGAAATAATTTCATACATAAATTTTAGGATAAGCTAATGGAATCAGTAGACAAAGAAGAAAGTCCATCTGAATCTCATGAATCTGATTCTGATGAAGATGGGATTCATATTGACAAGGATCAAGCTCTTTCTGAGAAGGAAAAAGTGAGTTTTAGTCTCTTTATTTATAATGCCATAATCTTTTTAGTAACCAGTATTAATTCAAGTGTATATATAAATTCTATATGAATGATATGTATTTAGCTACAGGTGTTCTCTGACTTGCATAAACAATCCTTAAACATTTTATAGTTAAATCTGCTGCTGGGTGGAAACAAAACACCCCAAAATATTGCCTAACACAGATTGTCCTATTACATATTTAGTTTTAATGAGCAACAAGTGAAATTGTACTAGATAAAAGTAGAAATGGTATTAACACATTTTTCATTATCATTTGATTTATATTTTATGTGTTTCTAACTCTTCAACAGTTATTGTTTTACATAACCAGCTTGTTAATTCATTGTCCTCAATAATGACACCTGAATTAAGGATCTATGGTATTTGTGATGAAGGCATATTGATTCTAAAAATGGGTTGGGTCTCTTTGTGCTAGTTCTATGTATTTTAAATATAAGTTAAATGTGTTTTAATGTAAAGTTCTTTAATATAAAATGTTGGCAGTGTGAAGCTTGTGATTTGTAGCTACTTATTAATACATCATTTATTGTGTTTTCTATTATGTATTGAGAGGTGCATGCTACAGTAATCCGTGATATTGGCAGAAAACATTTCTGCATTTCAAAAATGATTAAGATTTTTAGTGTAGAAAACTAACTGGAAATCAAGTATACCTTACAATGTTCCTCTAAAGTTTGTTTATATTATTTAGGGGGCTTTTTAATATACTTGCAGGGAAATAAATTCTTTAAAGAAGGAAAGTATGATGAGGCAATAGAGTGCTATACAAGAGGTATGTGTGCTGATCCATATAATCCAGTTTTGCCCACAAATCGTGCTACCAGTTTCTTCAGACTAAAAAAGTAAGTATGCCCTTTTCTCTGCAATATTGAAAGAGAAACATTATTTGATCAAAGTATTTCATCTTGCAAAATTAATGTAGGAGTCATTAATTAGTTAGATGGCTCTTCCTATCATTGTGAAGCAGAATTCAGCAGATTGTTCACCCTCTAATAGGAAATGTGAGCTGGGTTTAGACACAGTTTAGTTTTACCCTACTGGTGGTGTGTTGTTGCAATAGTAATTCTGCGCAATACGAGAGGAACTGCAGGTTTAAACATTTGGTTTCTGTGTTTGGCTGAGGAGCCAATGGTGCAAAACTATCGTCTGTGGGATATGAGCAGGTAGCTGCATCAGCATGCCTAGGCTGCAAAGCCCATTCTCACCTGCTTTATCCTTTCCCCCGCTCCCTGCCCCTTCTGTCTACTCCATCTTTTCTTCTGTGTCTTATTTATGTGCTACTTTGCCTCTCTTCCTCACACCTGAAGAAGGCTCCACAGCCAAAACATTGCTTTTCTTTTCATAACCTTTCAGCATGAAATGAACATTTACCTGTTCATATGTGGGATTCTAAGTTCGAATCCACCCTAAAGAGAATGTTGATGTTTGAAGTTTGGGTTATTCTGATAATTATTCTGTGCAATCCGTATATCTGGAAACCATTTCCTAACAATCCAGGCAGTTGTGTATTTCAGTTGTTACACCAGAAGTTGCACTTTGAGCCCTTTAATTTTTCTCTTTTTGTTAGGTATGCTGTAGCAGAATCTGATTGTAACTTAGCGCTTGCTCTGGACAGAAACTATATTAAGGCTTATGCCAGAAGGGGGGCATGTCGGTTTGCACTCAAGAAGTTTGAAGGTGCTCAACAAGGTGAGTTTTCATACTCGCATATAACATTCACAGTGTAAGTGCATGGAGGTGGAATCTGTTTTAATTTTGTGATGTAACCTAATTATTTAATTAAATGATTAGCTGTAATACTTCTAAACCAGCTCTGAAGTGTTTTATAGGTAATTTGTAATATATGTTTCTGAATTCATCTAAGAAGTTGGGTCGGTTGGTGTGTAAGACTCTTAAACTCTTAGGTTTGTAACTTTATCTTAGCAGTCCAGTTAAATTTGCTCATTTGGAAGTCTGTTCACTCAGATTTACAGTAAAAAAAATCCTGCTTCTTTTCTTGGCTGAAGGACAATGGCAAGAATGATTTATCTTGGATCTAAATGTTGAACTTGCTAAAACTCAGTAAGTTCTTAGAAAAGTAAAGTGCCAAATCTATTGAAATTATTTGATTAGTGACTTCCATTGTATCCATTTATTTGGAATTGACCAAAGGTTAACGTTTTCTGCTAATATCATTAAACATGCCATAAGTCTATTTAATATCAAATTGTTTTTTTAAAGATTTGTATGGCATATAATTTTAATCTTTCTTCAATTTTTCTAATTCAAGATTATGAGATGGTCCTAAAGCTGGATCCTGATAACCTTGAAGCACAAAATGAGCTGAAGAAAATAAAGGAGGTGTTTACCTTTATTACCTTTGCTGTTCATTATGGCTCTGATGTAAAAATCATGAATACTAAAACCCTTTTTACTTTTATTTGTAGGCTTTGGGGTCCCAAGAAGTAAAACCCAACAAAAAAGAAACATTAGCAAACGAAGCACCACAGGTAGATGAGAGTGAGCAGAAACGGATTGAAGAAGAGCAATCAAAACAGCAGGCTGTGGTGCAAAAAGATCTTGTATGTATTATTATCTGAAATGCATTTATTCTAGGGATCTTTGTCAAATTTGGTTAAAAAGGACATTTAGATTAAAGGCTTTATTTAGCTGTAGTTTGTGTATGCCAGAAATCGTGGTTGCTGTAGGTTTTTCCACAATCATTTAAGGAGGAATTAAATAATATATTGTTTAGGTTCTCTTGTATGTCTCGAATTCTTCGAAATGTTTTTCTTAAGGTTTAGAGTGCAGCACCATTCCTTCTCAAAGTCAGTCAACTCCATTTCCTGCTGGTTGATGGAGGTGGAAAATGCTGGCTCTAACATCTTTATGATATTACCCAATGGATTCAAAAGGATGATAACAGCATTGTCATGTTCTTGAAACCATTGGGTGAAAAACTAGGGTGGGAGCATTTTTCTTCTAGAAGATGCCCCTCCCACAGAAAAGAAAAGCTGCAGTATGGGATGAAAGTGATTCTTTAGTACCATTAGTTAGCAGTAAGCATTGGCTTTGCCTTCTAAAGGAATGAGTGAACCGCAGACATATGAAGTTTATTAATTAATTTCTGCACTCCACTCAAAGTGCTTTGCAGGTAATGGAGACTCCCCTCCACCATCACCAATGTGCAGCATCCACCTGGATGATGCGACGGCAGCCATAGTGCGCCAGAACGCTCACCACACATCAGCTATCAGTGGGGAGGAGAGCAGAGTGATGAAGCCAATTCATAGATGGAAATTTTTCATAATATCACTTTTCATCTTTTAATTTTGATCCTTGTACTTTTTAGATTCAGCAAACATCTCAGGTTTTAGTAGATTCTGTAATTAGCCTTTTATGAACCAATCAAACACAACAAAGGCAGCATCTGTATGTTTCATTGTTGCATTTTGTTGCTCGTCTAGATTAATCTAGATTTTTCATAATTTAACTGTGCTTCAGGGTAATGGTTATTTCAAGGAAGGGAAGTATGAAGCAGCTGTTGAGTGCTACACCAGAGGAATGTCAGCAGATGGCACCAATGCTCTTCTGCCAGCAAACAGGGCCATGGCATATTTGAAACTGGAAAAGTAAGTTCCTCTATTCCTTGGAAACACAGTTTAATATTGTTATCAATACTTGCCTTTTCATGTTTTCATTGAATTCACAATGTAATTTAACATTACAAAACAGGTTATACGTGCAGCATGTATGCATTTCTGCCATTTTGTTTTACAATTTCAGAAGTATGGAATCTTCTGTATTTCTTTTTAAGTTTTTGTACAGTTTGCTCTAGAACATGTAGGAGATGTATGACTTAATAAATATCAGAAAACATGCACTGTGGACTTCTTAAATTGTTCCATATAGAACACTTTTAAAAACTGAGAGTACTGGGCTAAGGTGTTGTAGGTGTTGTATTGTATGTGTTTTAGTACCTTAAATGGAACATTGTTTTCATTTTAACTTTAGTCGGGAGCATATCCATCATTGCTTCAGAACATAAGGAGAAACAGCTTTTTCCTAATATGATGAGTCGTTTTCCTGTTATTTGTCCTCTACAGTAGCTTTGACAGCTTCTCATTATTTCCTTGTTTCTGAAATTGCCTTGAGATATGGGTGGGAATAAACATGGTTGTAAGCTTTGGGCTGCAAGATGACGTTATGAGTAGCTGTGCAAGCCCCTGCTTGCCATACTGGGGCTGGGAGAGATTCTGAGGAGTTTGGTCTACATCGACTACATCTACTGAGTGATGCAGCTCCTACTGATGATACTGCAAGGCTACAGTCCTCTGGAAAGTCACAGTGGTAACTGCTGCTGATTTGAGTTCACCCAACTCAGGCAGCACATTGGGCATCCAGGTCTCAACTAAAGAAATAGTCTGGATTTAAACCAGCCTTGTCTGGATTATGCCTGTGTTCCTTACTTCACTCCAGAGATCCTGTATATCAAAGTATTTCAGTCGGTTTCATAACTTTTGTATCAAACAGGTATAAAGAGGCAGAGGATGATTGCAGCACTGCCATTGCTCTGGATGCGACTTACACCAAGGCTTTTGCCAGGAGGGGGAGTGCAAGATTAGCACTGGGAAAGCTGAAAGAAGCCAAACAAGGTAGAAGGAGTGTTGTGCTTTTTGTTGTTTTTTTAATAATCACATAGAGTTTGTAAAATTTAAGATCCTTCAAATAAGTACTAAAGGTATAAATATAATGTAGTCAGTGCTATCCCGGCATCACAACATAGTCTTCTTACAACTCTGCAGCCACAATCCAGTTGCCAGCTGTAAATACCCAGACTTTTCAGTTTGGACTTCTCAAGCTTTTTGTGGTTTTGTGACTCAGACTGTTCTCTGAATAATACTGCTTTTACTGTACTTCTGAACTGACCAATTGAACAAACCCTCGTCTTGTAGTTGCAGTATTTTAATTGTACATGTAATCTTTCCTGGCCTATATTCTGTTGACGTATTCTAATAAATGCTATGTGTTTTCCAGATGATCAAAATAATGTAATACTATCTATTAAGGTGTTAAAGGTCGTTGTTGGGCGAAGCTTTGTATTCACAAAGGCTCATTAATAGGCACTTGTATTTATTTATTGATATAGGAAATTGTAGTATATCAATACATTTTGCATACTGGATGAAATCTGTGGAAGTATTTTCTGGGCTTAGTATTGAATAACAACGGGTTCAATACAAATGTTATTTTATTTAACAGATTTTGAGACAGTTTTGAATCTGGAACCAGGGAATAAGCAAGCAATGAGTGAACTCGAGAAAATGAAAAAGGTACATATGTATGTATACTTTTTATTGAACCTAATGTGGTAAATCTGAATTTGACCTGTCTGTGTCAAGAACCATTAGATTTGGGGAAAAAAGTAAAACATTGAACAGAAGGAAATATAATGTTTTCTGTTAAAGGAGATGGTTGCGAAAGGTTTGATATCAGAACATCAGCCTGCAGAACAGAACATACAAGGTGATTGTCAGCGAAGAATTGTACAGCCAATAAATAAGCCACCTCATCTGCGTTCAAAAGTAAGTACTTTTCTAGCATCAGCAAATAAGATCTATTGTTTCCCAATAAAACACACGATAGAATTCCCCAAAGATATATTATTTACTAGCTGATACAGCTAAAGCTCTAAAATGTAAACAAAACATTCATTGATCATTATTTTGAAGACTAAAATTGGGAAAACATGACCTTCCTTTTGTTTCTTTTAATTGGTACATTACCGTTTTAATCTCAAAGGCAAATGGAAACATCAGATATGCATTCCAGTATTTAAATTCATAAATGATTAATTCATTTGGCTAATGCTTTAATCCAGAGTACCTAAATTTGTACCTATTTGTACAGCTGAGTATTTTACTGAAGCAGCGTGAAGTGCATTGCTCAAGAGTACAACGGCAATGTTCATCTTGGGCTTTGAACCCACAAATTCTTAATTATCTGCTCAGGCTCCTAGACAGTACCTCACACTGCTGCATGCCAGAGTTTACCAAACATATATTTTTAAAAACAATAAATATCTTTATATATTAGATAAAATACAGAAAAATAGATCAAATATGTCTTCATTTTACATAATGCATATGCTCTTCCGTTAAATAATATTGTGGATCTTTTTGTGACCTTCCCAATCCTTAGATCCAAGAATCTGAAGTCTTTGTCCTAGTGACTAAAAATATCTTGATAGTCATGTAGAAAAAGAGTAGCCACCTTTTCACAGCCACCTCTGTGCATACCTTTCAAATATTAATCTTCAGTTCTCTGCTGAATTGTGCATTATTAAACCTCACAAGTCATGAATGAGGCCAAGCATTTCTCTTTTGCCGTTGCTTATGGGCATCATCATCTTGAAAGTAGGTTAAATAATACAGATTAGGCTAAGGAAAGGGATGGGAATGCATGAAAAAATGACAGTGTAGTTCTGTTTTAGTTGGTAAACAAAAAGATATTATAGAAGACAAAATCATACATCTGAGCATGAACATGTAACTAATCACATACTGGTAAGCCATCATACCTTCACACAGAGTTTGCAAACCATGTACATAGTTTCCATTTACATGTTCCTATTTTTTGTGAGTGATGGATCTTGTTTTTTTAAATGTATTTATGATTATAAGGCATATAAAATTCTCCAGTGGTAAATGATGGTAAAGGTGTCCTTGTGCTGTGTTGCTGTAGAATTTGGAAGAAAGAAAAGGAAAGAAGGAAAGTGATTTGAATGTTATCTGCATAATAATACAAAAGTTTGCAGTTTTGTACAGTACTTCAGAATCACTAGTCATTAAGATATTAATATGTTGGTATATTTTTCTGAAATCCCTATTTCCATTTGAATACAAACCAAATGAAATTGTAGCATCTGCAATTTAAATTATTCATCTTCCAGTTAAATATTACTTGGTGAAGGAAATGTTTAATCAAAACAACACCTATCTCTGACAACTGGTGTCTTGAGAAATTCTCATATATAAATGAAACCCACAATTATAGACTATATTATGTTTGTTATTCACAACTTGGAATCAATTGAAATGGGCTTCTAATATATGTAGTTAAAGAGAGCAGAACATTTAATACTAGACTTGATAAAGCTGTCTGGAAATAATACCAATAATGACTTAATGTATTTAAAATTGACTTGCCGAAATTAACCTTAAGAGAACCTATTTAAACTATTTAATATTTAATTAATACACACTTGCAGTTAGTGAGCACATAAATAAAAATATAATTGTCTTAATATTGAGTGACTGTTTGTGTGTGCAGTGTTCCTATAAACACCTCGTACACTAAATGGTCACATTATTTTAAAACCACACTCAAATTAATAAACTCTCATCTGCAGGCAAAGCATTGTTGTTTTAAAGTGCAAAATAAACATTTCATTTGGCTGGAAAATACCTATATATAAATCATATTGGAAAAGTGGATTGTGCATTTCTGTTTTACACACCTTTTCCCTCATTCTGCAAGAAAAAGAGAATGGTATCAGTACTTATCATGTACTTGATAAGTGAAATAAGAAATAAGAAATAGAGAATCATTTTGAACTCGAGGCAAACCTGATACCACTTGTCATTGAAAATAAAGTGATATAGCAGTGCCATAGCAGAGAACCTAAAACAAAAAAGGATTTCTGTAATAATTTCAAAACTGAATTTGTAAGTTCCAGGATTCAGTACTGTAAGAACCTTGACTGTGTTTAACACTAACACCCACTATAGTTAGTAGATCCTAAGGCCTAAGGAGTAGTGCTCATGTTCCTCACATTCATATTATTCCACAGGTAGCTTTCAATTTTTCTCCATCACTTTTGCTGGGTAATCTCTTTTTTTGCATTTTCTTTATTTCTCTAGTGGTGTATTTGATCTTCTGTAGATATTAGAAGTTAAATTAAATGCCACATTGGAGCCAAAAGTACTGAAACAATTTGGCATGCATTTTCACTTTGTGTTTTGAGTTACTCTCTTCATGTACTGTATGTAGTCATTTTCACGTATTTAGGACAAATTATTTGCTTAAAATGAGAATTATAACTGAGTACTAAATGTTAATGTGTCTTCATTTGAAATAGCAAGCCTAGGAAACAAAAATCAATGATGTTATAGGTGTTAAAAAAGAAAGAAGAGAAAAATCAGACCTTCCCTGGCTAATTGAGTTGTTCTTTTAATTAGAAGAGCATTTTAGAAGTACCCTTTGAAATATTGATGTAAATATTTTTTTTATCAGTGAAGTGCTTGAAGATGGCTCTTTGAAAAAAATCTAAAGAAACTGATTTGATTAAGTATTTGGCTCTATAAAATGAGGCAAATAATCAGCGTTTTGGCTGCAGACATTTTTTCTTTGGTTTGCTTTTAATGTTGATTAAGTTGTTTAAAGTCATATAACACTTTTTTAGACATATCTAAATGGTCTTAGTGTTGGTGGCATTAAAACCTTCTTTAAAGCTTTCTGGTGTATAATAAAAATAATTAATCCATGCATACATAGTAGTTGTTCTGGTTAACTTTTTTTGTTAGCTTCTTAAAATAACAGTTGTTTTGCTCTTAGTGAAAATAAAATAACCCTCCCCTTAACCCTTAATACCTCTTTTTGTCTCTGCAAATGTCGTGAACTTATTATAGCTTAGAGTTTATAACACCTTATATACTGTAAACTGTGGTCAATAAGATTAAATTGCTGCAATTTAATGGTTTGAGATTTACATATTGGCATATTAAGATGAGTTTTCTGTGTAATTAAATGCAACATTATAACATATTATTTTATTTTTTGTCAGGATTCCTCCAGATTATTTTTGGGTCTTGTTGAAAATATTAGGTGAAATTGTTTAAAAACTCTACAGAACAATAAATGAATCAATCTTTCCTACTGTATCCTGTCCTTGGTGGTATCCTCTCCCAAGTTTCTACCCAAAAGACCTCTAAAGTCAGCTACAATAGAGGCACTGTGCAATTAGGATTGGACTATACCACCCACAGCACTCCAGGCCTCCCTCTGTCTCTAAATCTATAGTTCTTTAAATTACTGGAACAAAGTAATGACAACTGTTTTGCTTTTCTCATCCATCTGCTCTATTATTTCTAGTAATACCACAATATGTGTTGATTATAAAGCAGATTTTGAGCTTTCTTTCAACTTGATATATTTCACTGTTCAGAAACCCCTAAGACGAATGGTTATTGAAGAAGTTGGTGGTGAGATTTCCATTTCAAAGAGGACAGAAAGGACAACTATCTCAGCAGCATGTGAAACAGTATCCTCGTCTAGAACAGTAGTGAGTGAAAGCCAAGCTGTACCAATGGAATGTGCTCCTAGTCCTAAAATGCTTAAAATAGAGGAGATCTCTGATTCTCCTGCACATTCCACTGACAAGTAAGTAACTAATTTTCTTGTTTGATGTTCATGTCCTGAACTGGACTGGTTCAACACTGACCTAAGCAAAATAACATAATAAGAGAAAAGATGCATTTGTTCAGAAAGGTATCGAATACATGCTTGAAATAAAAGATGAATTATATAGCTCTTAAGGAAACAGTTAAATTAATGCATGTAGTTATGTTGAGAAAATGGAGGTGATCTTCAGAGAACAGAAAATCATTATTAATATTTTAAAAAACAATGTGACTTGTCAAACTCTGATCCTGCAGTGGTACAGCATTCCCACCATTTTTTTTTCCTGAGCCTTTTCATTTAATTCTTTTGCTCAATTTTCTGTAGTAAATTTAGTTCTTAAACCACAAACTGCAGAAATCTACTGATCTATGTGCTAATGTTACAATGACCCAACAGAAAGATGTTTGTAGCTCAGTTTCTCCAGAGAAAAATCAATAATGTGCTAAGTTAATTAAATGGATTAAAGTATTTCTATAAAAGTACATAGACTTATTGTTGAAGCTGATTCCCTTTAATGCTTTATGAAATTGCTAGATGAGAACTTCAGATAAACCGCTTGTAACCAAACAAGGAAGTCAGGCTGTAATGGCTTTGTTTCTAACCATTTTTTTATCTTGGGTTATTTTCAAATTGTGTTAGAGTTGTCTGGTGATATTTTAAGTGATTTTTTTGTGAAGAATGAGAAGGTAAAGATTTAACAAAAATAAACACAAAGAAACATGTATAAGAAATTATTGTGATTAAAGATTTAAATCAGTAACTTTCAGACCATGTCTTTTTCTATTATTTATTTTGCAGAAGTCCCATCACAAATGATGTGAAGAAGGTAGCTGAGAAATGTGCTGATGTGGAAAACGTAACAGATCAGAAGGGATTACCATTTTCCTTACCAGAGTGTTTATCCATTCCTCCTGTTCCTGCAAATTGCTTTCAACTTGAAGCAGACTTGAGGAAGCTGAAAAATCACCCAGATGTGATCTACAAGTACTTGAAGGTACTCTCATTTTCTCTAGACTGCTAAAATGTATTTAAAAGAATTTTGTCCCTTGAATTTTTTTGCTTTGCATTGTTGATTTTATCAGATTATATGAAATCATTAGAGTGTGAGCTTTCAAGATTTAAGTCAAATATGAAGCAATTTTGCATTGTGAAACAAGTGACTTTTTTTTCCAGCAAATAGAGCCAAACATGTATCCGAAAATTTTTGAGATGTCTTTGGAACCTGACATTCTGAACCAGATTCTGAAGGTTTTCCAAACATTTTACATAAAGTAAGTCAATGTTTCAGAAAATATAAGTTACATTTGATTAGCTGATAATGTATCTCACCATAAAATATTGAACGCAAAAGTTGGATGGTTACTGTTATGTATACATAATAGATTTATTGATACACATCTGTGATTTTGAATTAACCTGCATCTGCATATGTAAACAAAATTGCTGTCAAAATGTCCATGAATAATCCATGTGAAGCTTATTATTGAGACGAAGTGATTTCACTAAAGATTTTTCAAAGATTCTTGCCAACATAGATTATTCTCAAACAGGAATTTTCAACCAATCTCTAAACTCCAGGAGATACTCAGAGGGGCATTACTGCCTAATTTACGGTGATATGATTGAGGGTGAAAAAAACTCAGCTGCCACAGTGTATTTCTTTCATACAAAAAATATTTCAAAGTACTGTAGCTGGAATCCAAGCAGTGTTAGGTATGCTTTTCTGGGTCATTCACAGCTGTAATCGCACAAGGTTATGTTTGCTTTAACACTGTGGAATTATTGTTTCCATTAGCTTAAATATTGATAGTGTGAAAATACATAATAGAGATCTGCCTATTTATGCCTAGAAATCTTTTTTATACAGAAACCCTTACATATTGTAATCAGACTTTTGTCCAGTTTGGTCTGTCTTGGTAAAACTAGCTGTGTTTATTCTTTAGTTAATTAACATTCATCTCTTTATGAAAGAGACACACAAATTCAAAATGTTACTGAAAGAAGTTGCATTATATTATTCCAAATTTGTTAGCAGTCCCTAGCAATCACTTTATCAGTCTTCCTTGGCATCATTTAACTGTTTTGTAATGATGCTAATGCAATCAAGCATATCAAATTGGTCCTGAATAAATTTCAGTTTGCACAACTCTTTCTGTACCACACATATTTTTTAAAAGTATTCACCTCCTTTGGCATTTTTGACATTTTATTTTCTTACATCATAGAATCATAATAGGTTTATTCGGGAATTCTTACCACTGTTCAACACAAAATACTCTGTAATGTCAAATAAAATTAACTCTGAAGCTTTTTTCTTAATTCATTACAAATATCAAATGGTGTTGACAGTCACTCTATTGATGCCCAGTTGTGCTTTTAATAATATTAGAGTTTATAGCAGTATTATACAGTGGTGCTAGAAAGTTGGTGAACCCTTTAGAATTTTCTGAATTTCTGCATAACTTTGACCTAAAATGTGATCAGATCTTCATCTAAGTCATAAAAATAGATAATGAGAACCCAATAAAATAACACACAATGGAATGCTCTACCATACCTAATATGTGTAGCCAATATTCAGCTAAATATTTTAACACTGTTCTTTGCAGCCCAGTGTAAAGGTTATATTAGTAAATAATAATTGTAGTTATTCACACGTAAAAGCTCAAATACATTGAACTTATGTTCATGTATTTTAGGTATGAAGATCCAATCCTTGTTTTTGAGATTCTAAAGAACCTGGCAGAAGTGAGACGATTTGACATGGCAGTCATGTTTATGTCAGCAGCAGAAAGGAAAGGTAATCAATTTTCTTTGCAACCCAACTTCCAGTAAAGTAAAATGTTGTGTGTTCATCTCAAAACAGAAGCCTTTTTTGTCTTGTATTGTGATTACCAGTCTTCAGTGCTGTTTACCATATGTTGATCTCTGTGCCTGTTTATTTGCTTCAACCATTCTTATCCTCTATAAGTCCTGTTTTCCTGTGACCAATAAAGCATGCTTTAACTCAGCTTTATAGAAAAAAAACACAGATTTATCTTTTTTTATTAACTAAATGGTCATTCCAAGAGGAAGAGACACAAGCTGTGGCAAAACGTTGAAGTTTTTTTTTCTTTTTTTTTTCAGTTGTACAAGATTTGTTCACCTCTATTCTTCACGGTGGCTTGGATAATGAAGCAGTCAGATGCCTAAAGAAGAGATACAGTCTTTGATGTTTGTTAATACAAGCCTGTTATCAACAAAATGAACATTTATTTAAAAAAAAATTGTGGTCAAGAATTGACCTCTCATGCTGTTGAGAAGAGCCCTAGCAACTGAAAATATTTGCACATAACTTTTTCAGATAATGTAACAAAATACAAAAGATATGTCTTTTATGTGAAGTTGCCAAGTCTAAATATTTTGATTACTATTCTGTCTACCCTTATGTGTTCAACTGATTATTGTTCTATGGATTTACAACGCTGTGATGTTTGTTGTACATACCCAGTTAGAGGTCTGGATTAAATAAATTAAATCCACATGACAAATGCAAGTAAAAGCCCCATACATGTTGGCAAGTTTTTATTGAGTTAAAGCAAGGAGCTCCTGGCAAACAAAAAGCTACAGTCAAGTATGAGGTTTGGAATTTGCCATTGTTTGATAGTTGTTCTGTAATCACATATATGATATGTAAATTGCAGTGTTTGATAGGTCGAAGGTTTGAGTTGATCTCTAATCTTTAGCAACTATTTAGTGTTTCATAATCACTCTCTTAATTAAACAGTATTGACTATGGCAACACTCACTTCTGGTTAAAAATGTCCATGCAAAAGAATACCTGCAGCATATTTTAGTTAATACAGTTTGACCTGCAGTTTGCTATTTTACTACTTCAGGATTTAGCTGACCAGATGCAGCAGAGACCCACAGTAGAATTAAGTACATGTAGCATTGCTGTAGCTATAGCTGTAACTTTTTGGGGGCTTTTAAAGCTCATATGGTCAGTTGAACATGTGATTCAAGATAAAAAAAAGTGTTGGGTAGATGTTATCTAGTCCTTTTTGGTTTTACTGGTTCTTCAGAGCAGGCTTTTTGTATTGACAGCAATAAAAACATTAATGTGTTCAGTGAGAATCCTATAATTTCATATTTAGCACATTTACTTTTAAGTTGGTAGTTAAATGTTTTCTTGAACGGAGCCTTATGCAACCTTATGCAAAAATAACCAGATGGTGTTTAAAAATTAGCAATTTAAAATTAAATTCACCATAGCAAATTATAGTCACAATTTATTATTTCTAAATGGCATATTTTGAAATTGTTGGACTTCAGAGTGATTTAATGGAGTTAAGCTTTAATAGATTAAGACACGTGGTAATTTCCCTGTAAATGATTAATTATGCAGTGTGTTCAATAAATATTTGTAAAGCTGGTGATGAATAAGAATTAGAAATAGGAAATAACATGGTCATAAAACATTATATTTCTTTATGAGGTGTATACAGTCATTCGAGTGATTCTTCCAAAGATTTTTTCCTGGTGTACAGATGTTTTGAGACACCATATCACAAAAAATGTTAACTGATGATCTTTTATTCAAGGTGACTTAATAAAAAAATATCAATGTAGAGTGAGATGAAAAAAGTTAATGCAGTTATATTGCATAACAATGATGAAAACAAACTTGAACTAAAAATATTTTACAACAGGGTTTCCAACCTTGATCTGGAGAGCCCCAATCCATTAAGTCTTATAGGTCATTATTCAAAGTATAAGTATGAGATGACAGGCTGTTGATGCAGTGAGGCCAGCTTAGAGTTTCAGTATTGCAGGGAAGAACAAAGCCTTGAACTAGAAACTTTATAAATATGTAAATTTAAGTCTTAAGTACACAGGTTTGGTCACACACTCAGGACAAACTTTATTTCTGAAAAGCAGATTTAGAAAACAAAAGCCTAGAAAAATATATTGCATCATTAGTGAACCTGGTAAAGATCTATACAGTTATACAGGAATGGCTTGGGGACCCAACACTTTTGATTATATTACAGGAGTCTCCATAGCCACGTGAAGTAGTAGCTGAGTAGTGTGTGGATGTGTAGGGGAATGACATTGAAAAATAAAACACCCTCTACCACCCGAGAAGCACATTTGATGACTAAATATTTCACTTAATTCATAGACTCTTATGTAATCAAAAGAAATTAATTGCTGTGAAGTCATGCTTCTGGATAAATATGTTAATAAATGGATGAATTTTGGATATTAGTTACATATTTTTGGCATTGTTTTAATCATGACTGACTGTAATACACAACAGTGACTTTAAAAGTTGCATAAACACTAAAACGGAGAGTTTAGTAATAGAGTTGATTTAACCTATTGAACATCAAGGCTGGTGAAAATCCAGAAAAAAAATATAAAAAAAACCCTTTCAGCAAGATAAATATGCTTTAATGCCATCTGTATTTTGGAAACTAGACTAAATTGGTGCACTGTCTCAATCAGATTTAACAGGGCATTACATTATAGCCAAACATTGTCAATGATAAACCACAATCTGGAATAGCATGTTTTATGACATCTCACTAAGACTAATGGTGAGGTCCAGTGGCCTGGGTAGAAATGTCAAGTCCCTACAGAACTTCAGTTCTAGTGATTGATGACAACCTGACTTAATTTCATTAGATTAATCAAGTCTTGGGATCTCACTTGTTACCCTTAATGCAAGTTAATCCTGATTACATCATTCCAACAGAACAATGCACGTCCTTAAAGTGTTTACGAAATTTTGGCTTCCTTAAAAGATGAGTGACAATTATGCCATGAATGCCCTACTCACCAAATGTGATTCCTACTGATTATTTGTGAGATGAGCTACAGAGATATGTGGTATGTACAAATCAGAGAATGGTGAACAGGTAGGTACATGTGTCTCCGGGCTTGAATACCATAGGACAGTCATCTGGTGCAGAGCATGTGTTGCATACATAGTTTGTCTTTCTTCCAGTGGCGGAAGACACTACTACTATTCTCTGCTTTTCACTGTAGACCCCTTTTGAACAATCCTATTGAATACAAATGTTAACTACTATAATTAATTTACCTATGTCATGTAAGTGTGCCCATTAGAAAATACATTTAAATATTATTTTGATGAAATTATGTATACATCTGGGAGACAGCTCATCATGTTTTATAATTAAATTACTAATGGAGTTTTTAAATAGTAGTTGCAAAGTGATCAAACTGTAATCTTGCCTATTCTTGACTCTCCAACAAATAAATATCTTGCCTCCTGAGCATCTCTCCTCATACTTTTTAGTCAGTTGTGGATTTGAAGGAAGTCATACTTCACACTACTCTGCTTTCTTCATTATTTGCTGAATGTGTCTCCTCTGGTGGTATGGATCTTCATCTGGACAAAAGCTCAGTAATCAGTAAATCTGAGAGATTTTACATGTAATGACACCAATAGCATGGTACTCAATTCATGAGTACCTAATAAATACATTAATAATTATTTGATATTACATTGTTTCAAAATACTAATAATGTTTAAGTTTACAATTCACAATGTTGTGAAGAAATTAAATGGTAGGTTTCTTTATTTTGCTTAGAGAGAGATCTTGGACTGTAAAGAGATAATGGATTGTGATAGTTTATACTGTTTTTTAATTTTTAGATTTGTTTTGAAGAAAGAAAGATTCAGAGTGAATGGTGGTGTGTTCACCAGGCTACATTAGTTTTGGAATAGCTTAAAGCAGTGGTTCTCAAACTGTGGTACGCGTATCTGCAGTGGTACGTGGCGTGCCGCCAGGTGGTACGCCAAATAACCCTGGAATTGTTTTGTGTGCGCTGAAAAAATCGGGACGGGTTTTCATATTTTGTATTTTTAAACGTGTCGAATACGCAGCCTACGTACTACGATACAGTGCGCGCTAATACTTCAGTGGACACAAGAGATACTCTGTAATTCTATACCACTCTATAGGAATGCGTGCTACGTACGCAAGTGACAGTGACCAATTGTATTTAAAAAAAGCTACTGTATCTCCAGCAAATAGGGAGAAAGGAGAATGTGCGTGATTTTGGAACAATGCCAACGTTGTAAACACAGGAATGCATAGAAATGCGTGGTACGAACGCTGGTAATCTTGTGAGCACAGGAAAGCGTGAAAAATAACAGAAAAATATTTAAGAACTGTTCTAAGTTAATTTGAGAAAAATACACCAAGCGTCTCTGTGTATCTCTCCCATGCGCATGAAATAAATACTTAAAATAAACACTGAAATAAAAGCGGAAATGTGGAAAAATGCAAGCTTTCGGATTGCTAAAGCGGGTAAGCCCACAATATTATGTGTGGACAAAAAGCTGCTGAACAGCTCGACCTGCTGCCCCCCCTGAAAGACACAATTATTCATAGAATTATTGAAATGAAGGATTATATCAAAAGTACGCTGACAGCCCATTAAGATGAGCAGATGCTTTTCACTGCAGTTAGATGAGTCTGTAGATGTAGTCGATTTGGCCAATTTGCTCGTTTACGTTAGATACGAGTTTGAGGGCATGTCCCATGAAGACTTTCTGTTCTGTAAGCCGCTACCAACAGGAACTACAGGAAAGCACATATTTCAGCTTCTGAATGTATCGAAGAGAATGGCATCGACTGGATAAAATGTGTCAGAGTTTGTACAGACGGTGCTAGAGCAATGACAAGCCGACACAGCGGTGTAGTTGCACGAATTAGAGAGGTTGCTCCAGAAGTTAATGGTTTAATTGCAGCATCCACCGCAAGACCTTTGCCGTCAAGAAAATGCCTGACGATTTAAAATCTGTTAAGACTGTTGTGAATTGTATCAAGGCTCGAAAAATTAATTCACATCTGCTTTGCTCGACTAAACAGGCTCACCCGTCTCACTGAAATGGTGCTTTTTTATTTTTATTTATTCTTGTTTTTTTTCTGTAAAACACTTTGAGAAGCTACATTTTAATATATCAAACAAAGTTTATTATTATAATATTTATTGTATGTATGTGTGAGAGTGTGTGCACATGCGCTCATGTTGGTCACTGAGAATTGCTGGAGTTCCTATGAGATGATGACCTGTAGGTGGTACTTGGATGCTTTGGTTGGATTAGGGGTGGTACTTGGTCCAAAAAGTTTGAGAACCACTGGCTTAAAGTACTTGTCTGATTTCTTATGGGACAAGCATGATTTAATGTTGTTTGATTGCAAGAATATTACAAAACTTTTTCATATATAATGTTTTAAAATAAGGAATTTTTCAACACTGGCCATGATTAACTTCAGTCCTTTGGAAGCACTATTATTGTAATGCTCTAGGCACTGCAAATATTAGTCAAAAGTCAATTAGATGTCAAGTCAAAAGAAAATGTAATCTTTTAAGTATTGTCCAGGAGAATTTGCATTTTACTACTGTAGCTCGGGAGAAGAATATAGAACCTAATCGGTTCAATGGAATGAGCTAAGCAATATTCAATACCAAAATAATGAGCAAGACTGACGGCTCTTGAAGCACACCATAAACCTGAAAGGTGGTGAAAGGTGTTTCCTATTAGATAAATATCTGTCTGTTTCATCTACAGTTAAATGCTCTACAACTGAGCTCAGCCCTCCATGAAAACACCATCCACTCTAAGTGGTCTGATTATTATCTTTCAAATAATCCGAACAACAAATGTAGCCTCAAGAGAGGTCATGGGACAAAGGCATGAACTGACATCATCACGATAATCTTTGTCGAGTTGCACGGGTGCTTTGGGTTTCATTTGTTGTTTCAGACGCAATTCAGATCTTCAGTGCGACCAGACTCTCTTAATTTTGCTATCATATACGGTAGATTCCCAAAGAGCTACTATTTCTATAATTGGGGGAACGTTAAAAAAGATTCATTTTGTGTTTAAAACTCAAATGCTCCTTTAATTTGCTCATGCATTCAATCAAAACCCTGTGAAAGCGGTCCAACAAGAAATTGGTCGGATTCTAGTA